TAAACGTCACATTTAAGGCCAAAAGTTTCGGAACGATTCGGAGCTGAAGCCCATACTGAGAGAAACGATTTATTCCTGGGTTTATTAAGATGCAGAGATGCACCGTGAAACAGATCGATTATCGACTCCACAGTATCGAACGGAATATCTCTGGGGAGGGTCTTCCTATTTATCGAACTCTCTGCCGTGAAACACACCGTCTACCGGCTCATACTAGGGCTCAGTCAGTGATTGAGCCTGGAGCTATACCTCTATACTGGCTACTACTCGCCTGCTAGAATAAGTGCTGCACAAGAAGAAGAAGAAGATAGTTTCGAGGAAATATATGAACTCCTCCACAAATTCTCAGCATATCCGGTTTTTCGACTCGCACACAGTCACCTCAACGAGGAAGCATGCTCTTGTGCTCCACGTAGTGTAGCTTTCAGGGCCTAACTCCTCGTAGTTAGTGAGAAGTCAAAAAGCATCATCGATTCTACACAGTGTACAGTTCGAACCAACTCGAAAATTACGCTCTCTGGGCTGTATGTCCGCATCATAATATGTCAGACTCAACGTCGCCAAGACCCCCGAGGAGAATGCGTTCGATAGTTATAGATGATCACCGCGATCCACTGCAATGTGCGATTTTCACTGTCAGTGAGAATCCAACATAGACTCGACCCTTCCGCACAAACCTCAGGCGCCATCGTGTAAGGAGTTCCGGCAACCACTTTGGACTGAAATGCTGTCGTTGGATCGAAAAGCTCGGCTAAACCAAAGTCTATGAGGATCACATGAGGCTCCATCTCGTGGATTTCTGAAAAACTGGTCATAGGTTGAAGTAACCAGGCCAGGAGAGTCGACTTAATATCATCTCTTGATGGAAATGTTGGAATACAGGTTTTGTTTTCTCAGCTAAACTCGGGAGTTTTCTTACTATATCATATCAGTTCGCATCAGCATGAAAGAGTATGCACGTGGTCAACTACGTGTGTTGGCGACAATATGAAAATTCTGAGGGAATTGCAGGGCAATCTCGATAGCGCTACCCTGAATCGAGTGTAAACTTTCGCAATGTAGTGATGAAGTTTTCGAGCACATATGAGGCAACCAGACATATATTCCACACATGACTTAGGGTAGAAGTATGCAAATAACAACAAAAAAACCTCCCAAGATTTCCTCAAAATTCTTTACCATCTTCGACGAGCATACCAAACCTTGCGCATTCTTCTCCAGGCTTCTCAAATTCGTCCGATAAAAACCCAATTTTCTCAACAGGATGAACTCCGCAAATCTCACTCTGCCTTTCCCCCGGCGGGACGCAGTTCATCAAAAGGACGTTCTCCGCTTTGATGTCCTTATGAATCAATCCATGCGAATGGCAGTGAGCGACAACATCGAGAGCTTGGCGGAAACTGAGAAAAATGAAGACTCTTCTCCACAAACACGGGATCGATCATTACACGGCACAGATCCACCTCTCTGTCAGCGGCTTCCGTACTTTACTACGATGTGCATCTTCAATCACCTACAACGCGAAAACACGTCATCGATACCAGTGGAGCTTCGCCCGTGATATGAAAAACGTGGTTCACGACTACTGCACACCAAGAATATCGCGTTTTCACCGAGTTTCACGGCACTTTCACGCCACAAACTTCACGAAACGCGACAAATCACCCCATTTTGCGTTGAATACATCACGTGTTTTACGCGTTGTTAACAGCTCACATGCGTTTTTCGCGAAGTGAAATGCGAAATATATTTTTTCTAATGATATGAAAAACACTGGTGAAAAACATATTTCACGACTACTGCGTATCACCGCGAGTATCGCGCTTTTCGCCGAGTTTCACGCCACTTGGGGTTACCTCCTTTGCAACCACTGAAGGTAGAATCAGGTCACCAGAGGATAACGTGGTTCAGTCGAATGGCTGAATGTTGTCTCACTTATTGCCGTAGGCTCTACTACAATCAACTATCTGTTGAACTGAGAACGGAACCACTTTAGCAATGCCGGTCTGTATCTTGAAACGGCTCTCCAGAGCGACTGAAGAGAAACCAGCGGTTGTGATGATTATCGGCACCAAAGTCCCCTCTAGATTGGTATGGAAAACCATCAAAGGCTTACCTATAGCGGCGATGGCATAACAAGAGCCACATCTGTTCAGCCGAGTCGATTGCTCCCTGACTGGAGCCAAAGCACCAGCGGCTTCCCAGTCAACCGACGGGGGAGGAGCTTCTATCTCGTCTTGTGGGTCTGAGGGAATCTTCCTGCTTCAGTGGAGCAAGAGCAAGGTGATAGTACAAGTCGCAGTGACTGAGCGCAGGTTTTCTTCAAACTGCGGATCTGTAGCGCACTGGAACGCTTTATCGAATACTCCGGATGGTACATCGGCATATTCATTGAGGCCGACCTCATGAGTTATATCGCCTGAATAATAAACATGAGAGGACATGAGCTTCCGCCGCCAACCATTTGCTCTCAATTCCTCTATCTCTCTCATGCTTTCTGCAAAAGCAGCCTTTGCAACCTGGTACTGCTCATCCGTCTCATACTTCTTATTGTATCTTCAAAATTGCGATAGGCGATGGAAGAGCTGGAAACTGAAGGAAACGGATTATCTCACTCCCTCATGAAGCTTTGGAAGGCCTGGTCGATATTCTCTAGTTGATATTCTCGACCCGATCCTCTGGCGATAGTCTGAGCCATAACGATGAGGTGAAGAGTCCCAGCGGTGAACCACATGATAGCGAGGTGCTGATCCGAAGCAAGAGAATGAGAACTGCCAGCCTCAGACTGGGTAGATACAGAAGATAGCGTCAACTTGATCAAACTAATCACCAGTGGTGAACAACCTCGCACTCTTGAAGTTATTTGTGCCCTCAAGCCATTAGCTATGCCCTTACACAATTGCACGCATATACAAAGGCTCCTCTGCGTCTTGGATAAGCTATAGTTGGGAGTCAACTTAGGCACTCAACAAGGCGGAAAGACCAACTATAAGAAAAAAGGAGTCAAGACAGAGACGATCACCGACAGACATGATCACCGTTGGAGGCGACTGCCTAGATCGTCGTAAGGATAACTCCATACGCGACAGTGTCTCCCCCAGTTGGCGTCGCCAACTTGGCGGCAACGTCACTCGTTCACATACCGCGGGTCACAAGGGCCTCGCGGCTATCCTTCGACAATAACCTCGTAGGTGTAAGCTTTAATGAAACCATCACATCAGAAGATGATCTCAGAAAGGCGGTGGCACCTTCAGGTGGTGCCTCCGCCATGAGAGAAGCACCATCGGCATTCAGATATACCGGGAAAAATCGTCGACCATCCTCGCTGTCCAGTATGTGAACCCGACCCCCGGCCTCCTGGTCCTCGATGTAAGGCACTGCATACAAGCCTAGCATGTCTTCTCCTGTAACCAAACAAAAACCAGTACACAGTCCCAATGTTTTTGGTTTAGCAGGGTCCACAGTGCCTTCAACCACCGGAGTAGCTCGGGCACGGTCCACGCCTGATTCCCAAGTGAAAAGATGAAACTGCTGTGGTAT